GAGATCCACCGGAGCGATCAATTCTCTGATCGCTCGAACCGTTCGATTGACGGGCGCGAGAGACGATCTGCGTCGACGTTTCGAACGCGTGGGAGGCGGCGTAGAGAGGCGCGAAGGATTCTCGTGGTTTGAGATGGAGACAGCTTTCTCTAGACGCATTTTAACCGGCGCGGTTATCAACTTCGATTATATCGAACCTTCGCGATTTCTCGAAGATGCTAGAGATACCGTGCTCGATAGAGTACGCGATGCTATAGATGAACATAACAGTGTTAAGGTCAATACCGTGTTTATCGGTGAGTTCGTCTCAGGCGACAAGATTGATATTAAGACTATCACCATGAAGAATTATCCGCTTCTACCTCTTTCCGATTTGCAAGAGTGGTATGGGAAGCGTGTGGTCGACGCTACTTTAGCTTCGCTGGAGGAGTTTCAAGAGCGCGATAGCGGATGGGTGTTATCGCGAATTCTAAATTTAACGGTGAATGTGAATAAATATAATCCTATGCACGCTGGATGTCACGTCCAGATACCGCGAGAGATCGCGTTGAAGAAAGCGGTGATTAACGTGCGATCTACGGATAACGCGTGTTTCGCGTGGGCGGTAGTCGCCGCTTTATATCCGGTTGAGAAACACACGGAGAGAAGCTCGCGGTATCCTCACTATTCGACGGTGCTGAATCTGGAGGGTATCGAGTTTCCCATGACTTTAAATGTAATTACTAGATTCGAGCGTATTAACAACATATCTATTAATGTGTATACCGTTCGAGATAAGAAGGACGGGAAAAGTAGCTGCCGTATCGTTCCTCTGCGTCTCACTTGTAATAAGAAGGACAGACACATTAATCTGCTGTATCTGAGCGATACGACGCAACGAGATAATACGGCGCATTTCGCATGGATTAAAAATTTGTCCCGACTTGTCGGCTCGCAACTGAACAATAGGCAACATAAAGCGCATATATGCGATCGGTGAGTACGAATTAAAAAAATTTGTCGCGTAATGTGGATAATATACGCGATTTAAAAATGTGTTTTATGTCGCAGATGCATGCATTATTTTTGAACGAGCGATAAATTATCGGCTCACAGCGCGGACTGTGGAAGGATGAACGAGTGCGCTATAGTTCTTCCTACTGAAGATGACAAATGGTTAGAGTTTCGCAATTACTGTAGAAAGGAGAGACTTCCATTCGTGGTGTACGCCGATCTCGAATGCGTGCTGGAGAAGAAAGAGGAGAAGAGAACACCGAATACATCTATCATTCAGCATCACAAAGTCTATAGCGCTGGATATTACGCGCGATGCGCGTTCGATGATGCTTGCTCGACATACAAAGCCTATCGCGGCGAGAATTGCGTATCGTGGTTCGTTAAAGAATTGTACGATTTAGCGCTTCGCGCAAATACTATTTTCAACATTGATGCGCCTATAGTGGATCTTACACCGGACGAATGTGAGAGATTCATGAGTGCGACGCACTGTCGCGTATGCGAGAAACCGTTCGAATCGGAAGACGCTCGCGTGCGCGATCACTGTCATCTAACCGGACGGTATAGAGGTCCGGCACATTCGAATTGTAATTTAAATTATAAGGAGACTTACGTAATTCCAATATTCTTTCACAATTTATCGGGTTACGATGCGCATTTCATTATTAAAGATGTGGCTAACGCTTTTCCCGGCAGCGTCGAACTGTTGCCGCTAACAAAGGAAATGTATATCTCTTCCACGAAAAACGTTGAGGATGCGTCGAACGAGGGATGGTTCGGGAAACGCCTGAAATTGCGCTTCGTGGATTCTTTCAA